GAACTGCTCTTGTTGGATCCATTAATTCAGGGCCCTAACATTGTTACAGTAGGATTGCATATCACTAAATGTAAAACTGGTAGAAATGTTAACATTTTTGGAAGTCAGTTTCCACTTAATTGAGAGCAGGAATAGGTCTAACTTTTAAGGACTTAGCTTTAAAATTATGTGTTTTAGATTGGCTAAAAAGACAGTAAACTACCAGTTTTGCAACCTATATTCATTCATAAAGATATAAGCATATATTTTCAATTTCAAAAACTGAATTTACTTTTTTTCTGCCTTGGTGATTAGAAATTTCTAAGTAGAAAAAAAAAATCTGTCAATATCACGTGAAAGTATTGTGTAAACTATATGGACCTAATCTTAGTGTCCTGAGACCTTAGAATATAGCATAAGCTTCTTAAATTTCTTCCCTCAAAAGAATAACACTTCATTTACAAACACAAACTCTGTGTTGAAATATTTCTTTTACCCCAAAGTATGTAGAAGACACTCTCATTAGGTACAGTTAATATATTATTTGGAAATTATTTATAAGTACTGATCCATGCTTGATTAAACTAGAAATGTTTTGCTTATATTTAAGAATTACTGCATTACTTAACCCTTCCTAATTTATAGAAGTTTATATGTGGTTAAATTTTATAGTGATAGCTTTGCTCTCGTTTATGCTTATATCAGTGTGCAAAGGGAATTTAACTTTTTCTGCCAGAATAAAGGGGAAATAATTATTATAAAATAAAATGAATTTAAATCAACAAGTAGAGATTTAAAAGCTTTCTGTTTTTCCCTGGCAAGATATTTACCATGTCATCTTTCTATTTAATTGTATATTACAGTAGCATACAAAATATAACTTATCACATGCAATATTTCTTCTTCATGAATTTCTCTGTTGAACACTTTAGAACATGATTTTTCAAAGAGGAAATATTTGGCTTATAGGGAGAAATGGAAATCCAAGCTTAGATGTATAAGGAAGGAAGGTATCATATAGGAAACAGATATGGTTAAATACATGTGGGAGTTAAGACTTGAATCAATTGGTAAAATGACCATTTGATAATGCTGTCATAGTATTTATACTCTAGTTTCCTTCATCTATTAGATAAACTTCTTGTATAATTGCTTCATTGATCTCTCAATGAGGAAATAATTGAACTATTTTGATGCTTTATAATCTTAATATTCCACAGACTGTTCAAAGTCAGATCTTTATATTTTAGAAGGTGTAGTATTCTTGCACGTGGGGAGGATTTTAACAAGTGTGTTTATTACAGCAAATGCTTCTCAAGTAACAGAATTGGCTGTGACTTAATTTCAGATAATTACATTTTGTTTCTATGAAATATCATATATTTCATTCCAGTGATGTAATGTTTAGGTGTCTTATGCATCTTATTATTGATAGAACTTTTATAAAAATTCATAACTGTGAGGTGCTTTCAAATCTGTAATATACAGGCATCATAGCAGTCCTAATAGATGATACTCATTAATGCTCCCGGTTTAGAAATGAAAATATGCTCAGTTATCTCTGGTGTGCATTTAAAAAAAATCTTTTTAAGCCATTTATTTTGAGACACAGTATGAGTGGTGAAGGGGCAGAGAGTGAAGTAGGGAAAGAATCCCAAGCAGGCTCCATACTGCCAGTGCAGAGCCTGATGTGGGGCTTGAACTCATGAAACCTCTAGATCATGACCTAAACTGAAACCAAGAGTCAAATGCTTAACTGACTGACCCACCCAGGCTCCCCCCTGGTGTGCATTTTTTGTGTCAACTTTTCGTAATTGTTTGAGGGTATATCAACATATAGCCTATTATCTCAATCCTGGGCTGTAAATTATGATTCTACTTAGGTATATAGGCACTCCACATCTTACTTTAGCCCTAAGAAGAATTTGTCTCCAGAGGCATCAATGACCTTACTTAAAGATGAAGACACTAAAGGTCAGAGGTGGTTGGCATAGGTGAGGAGTCCAGCATGTGGTTAATAATAGCTTGCACGAGTAGGGTCAGGCTACCTGGGTTTAATCTAGATAGACTTCACTATTTTAAGCTCTCTGACCTGGGGACAGTTTCTTAACCTCTCTTAGTTTCAGTTGCACTGAAAGGACAAAATAATACCAATCTCATAGGATACTATTTGGAAGGCTAACAAGATCGAATGTATTCAAACTGTTTGGCATACAGTGTGTGCTCAGTACGTAGCACATACTATTACTAAGGAAATTATTTAAGGCTACTTAGGTGGTGGAAGTACACTGGTGACAGTACCCCACGCCATCTCACGCTTCTTTGGCTTTCTAATGAAGGCAAGAAATAGGTATGTGAAAAGGACTAGTATTAAAGTAGTTCTTGCAGTTTTAAGACTGGAGAGGTGGTAGGTATGAGATCGAGAAACAGAGGACAAACTTCAGAGAGGGGCAAAAATTGCACAGTTTGGGTCACGAGGCCCAGACATAAAGTAAGATCTCTAAAAAGTCACATTGGTGTATTTGTAAAATGAGAATGCGAAGGGAGTGCATCTTTTCTGGACTCATCTGTGCACAGTATTTGTTTAAATCCCTCACTGGTTATTAACCTTAAACCTAAGAGCAACAGAAATATTTCTGGAAGCACCCTCCAGTGGTCCTTCCCTTGTAAGCACTTGTCACTTTTCCTGCTTTAGCAGTTACATGTATATTAACCTTCCAACATTTAGAATTGTAAGCATTGTTGTTTGAAAAGGGTCTGTTCTCTTTTTTCTCCCCGGTTCCTGTACAACTTTAAATAAACTACATTCTGCTACTTAATGGCCTTTGACATTCTTTCTTAGTTCTTTATTTCCATAACTTCCATTCCCAGCTAAAGGCAAAGCCTGATTTCTAATTACATCGGCTAATATCCCTAGTCGTAAATTGCTCTGAGTTGAATAGTGTCAGTGGTCCAGTAGCTCTGGTTGGAATTGACATCAATTCTATTAATTAAAAATTAATTTGAAAAGATTCCTAGTAATTTAGACATTTTAAAAGTTTGATACTAATAATATCTATCCATTTTCATAATTACGTACTTTGCTTTTTGCCAAGTGTGGGTTTTGGTTTTGTTGTTTTCTTTTATAGTAAACCTTAATGACACTTGGTGGAACTCTTAAATGGTGCCTCGTACTGGAGCATAGTTAACCCTGACATTGTGAGGTTTTAATGCACTCAATCAAATTTGACCACTGGAAAGCAAGCAGCAGTAGCACAGGAAAGGAGAAAAAGCCTTTTTCTCTTCTACCTTTCGTTGAGAAAGATTAAGCATTTCCTTTGGTCTTGATGAACTGTTAGATCAATTTATGTACCTCAAACTATTTTTTTGGCCTAAGGAAATATGTTCTTTGGCCTCTTGAAATTGTTACATTCAGAGGCCAAACTTTTGGCCTCTTCTTTGAAAGCGGTATGTTTCAAGTTCTGCAAAAGCAAGAACTTGGCATAAGATTCCAGTGTGATACATGCACTGATTTACCAGAAAATATACCTCAGCGGGAAAATGTTTTATATGTGAGGCTTTGCTCAAATGCAGAGAAAATCTGGTTTTTAGTAAATCTTGTTTTTTGCCAAGCCAGATTATCTTCGGTGCAATAAAAATCTAATGAAATAACTCTTAAAAGGAATGTCAAAGTCAGTTTCACTTAATGATTTCTCTTATTTAAGTTCTGAAGGTTAAAAATAGATCAGAAAAAATGGAAATACTGTATTGTAATCATATCTAAAAGTTTATGTATTACAACAAGATAGTCTCTAGGATCTGGGAAACACTGATAATAATTTACCATTTATTGAACTACTATTGAGCTGCTGAATGCCAGGAGCTTCACATATATTCTCATTATTCTTTACAATAACCCTGGTAAGTTGTTTTGTTTGTTTGTTTTTGATTACCAGTTCACATATCAGGACAGAGGCTCCAAGAGCCTATACATTTTAATAAATGGCAAAGCTAAGATTTGAACTTAATTCTGTCAGATACCAATATTAACTGAGATAATATCTGAGAGTGCTTGGAAAAATTCTGAGTAAGTACATAGCAGCTATTATTACTACCCTTCAGCTGTGGTGCCTCCCACTCTACACACACACACACACACACACACACACACACACACACACACAGTGAAGAAGAGAGTTGGGAGGGGAGAAGAGAAAGCATTATAACACGCTACCTCCAGAAGTAAGCATCCCACATGGCAACAGACTTCTCCTTCTTTACATAATCCACAAGCAGTTAGGATGGGGATGCTACTTTACAAGATGGAATACATAGAAATAAAAATGTGCAAATCTTTTTTGTGGAAATGTTAAAATACTCTAGTGAGACAAAAAATACATATTTGAACAAAAGGAAGAAAATGCACGTTTTTGGATAGAATGATTCCAAATCACAATGGTGTTAATTCTCCGTGAGTTGATTTATAAATTTAACAAGTCTCTACTAATAATACTAATTGCTTTCTTTACCCAAAAGCTGGATGAGAAGATTCTAAACTTAATGGAAATATATTTCTTAATAAAGCATGTGGTTGATTCTTTCTCCTCACCACTATTAGTTCATTGTTTAGATAAGTATGTACTGATATGAAAATCATATCATAGGTTATAGGTTATGTTCTCAGACACCTTATTATTCTCATAAGTAAAGAGAAGTGGGAAGAGTGGTTATAGAGGCACCATGCAAGTCTTTAAAACTCTTAAGTTACATGCCAGAAATCATAATGAGCTCATAAGAAGTTTCTATTATTTTAAATAAATTATTTTATTTATTTTAAATTATTATTATTTTTAGCTATCTGTCCATTGACTTGAAAACCATCACTGACAAAGGAATATTACTTAGTCATTATAGTAGCAGTAGACACCAATATTTCAAACTGTGTTTTGGTTAGGTATAGGTAGATTTTCCATTATAGCCCTTTGAAATAACTTACTTTACAAACTACTTACTGTATCATTGCCTTTTCCTTTTCTCCACAGTTGCATTACAGCCCTCCCCAGCTGACAGAAATGGGGTCCAGGAAAACTGTAGAACAAAATTCAGAGAAGGCCTGCATCTGCAAGAAGGAGAATTCTTATTACAGGTAAATTTTAGTAAATATAGTTTCTCCTAATAAAAACATTGTAAATGAAGGATTAATTCATCAGTCTTTCAGTTACTCCAGTTTACTTAGAACTCACCCAGGGCTTCCTGTCACTTTTACCAGGACTGCAGCAGTGGTGTAATGCTAGATATGAAAAAATGTAATTATATTGAGTAGATTAGAAGCCTACCTATCAAGTTCCCTGGTGTATTTCTTTAAATAGTTAGAATTCCTACATTATTCTAAAGGTTCTCATTTAAGACATTGAATTCATATATATTTTTTTCAGGAATATAGCTTCATGAGAGGAGTTAATTGTATTTACTTAATAGTTCGAAAATGTTCTTAACTGAATTTTATTTTCCACTGTGTTCTTGTCTCTTAGCTAGGAGATCTGTCTTCTCAGCATGCTACAAATTGTCTCTACAGCCAAAAGCCCTAATTTTTGTTTTAGAACTTAGTTTCTAGATTTGTCTATGAAAATATTTTAATTTTTTCTTCTTACTCTGTTTTTTGGAACTCATAGGATGCTTGATTCTGAGCTAAAATTCTCAGGTATTCATTTTGTTTAAAAAAAGATAGAATGAAGATGTATGCTGTGATATGTGTTATTACTATTATGTGATCATCTTCAGTTCTACCTGGTAAACTGAATGAAGTACTTAGTTTGCCATTGTAACCAAAAGTAGCTGCAACCTTTAGTAGCTCCATTAATTCATTCTGAAAATGCTTATGTGTAACCCAGGAATTTATAGCACTTTTTATTATAATTTTGTAATTGTGAAAATTAACTTTTGCACCCATTAGATTAAACAAATTAAATGTATTCAAGCATGAGTCATCCTCTCCCTGGCTAAGGACCTTTGTGTATGTAATAGTTCGAAACAGAAAGACACCTTCTTCAGGTTATAGGAAAACATTCTTATAATTGTGGCTTCATGTGAATCAACACACACCATGAGTTCTGTAGTGAAGTAATAAGGAATTCCTTTATTTCAAATGAAAATAACCAGACATGGAATGCTTAACATTTGGTAAAACAGTTTAAATTATGGGCCAATGTTTTTTTTCCCTCCTAGAATATTTAGGCAAATTGTAAACAAATTCTATGTCAAGGACAAGGAATAAAATTAATACTAATGAAAAGCTAGTCTTATTTTCTTAATTATCTGAAAATTAGAAACATTTAGGTATTTAAAATAAATGCATACGTTATGAATTATATTGCATATCAGCAGTAAATTTTCCAGTGGGAAGCATCACATATTGTCTGATTTGCTAGATCATGCTTGTTATCTCTTCTGAAACAGATGACCAAAAACGTTGTAGACATGTGAAAATGGCATATTGCATTATATACAGTAACCATAATGGCATCTAACTTTATACTTGCAACATGTGATTATCAAACAATTATCCTAAGACATAGAGAATGTTTCCAGAGGTACAGTATACCCTCTGGCGTGAAACTTTTACTAATGAGAAGTCTTTTCCTTTAGTTTTAACAAAGGAGATATAGAAAGAAAATGTTACATAATATTTTATTAACAAAAATTTGAAATAATTACTTTGAAGCTTAGCTTAAATTTATTACTATTTTAAAAGGAATAAAAATGAAAAAAATTGACTTTTTTTATCCTTTCATTAGCTGTTATTTATTTCAGACATTTATTTTCATTTATTTAATCGTGTTCTGTCTGGTGCTACTTACCGTGGTGCTGATTATAATCAGCAGCTTTGTTTTTTAGTTAACAGCCATTGAAACTATAAATAATACTACCGATTGCAGTTTATTTCTCTTACATTAAAGATAATCTCAGAATGACTCTTGGGTAGGCAGGGCAAATCTTTATAAGCCTAGAGAATGATAATCTCATTTATTAATATGAAATTACCATATTCTTTTTATTTACTGATAATTCAATATAAGTAATATCCTTGTCCCATTTAGTATTTAAGATCATTTGACGATATACATAAAGTCAGTATGCATATATTCTTTTTAAAGGCTTTTTATTTCTGATGATTAATGTTTGTATAAGAGTATGATATTATACCTTAAATTATCTTTGTGTCTTCTGGTAGAATGAGGTCATTGGAAAGTACTAAATTCATTTTGCTGTTTGAAAAAGCAGGACAGTCTCCAAAATAAAATGCATATGATAAATAGATACTCTTTTCCAAAATGAAGATATTTTGGGGAGGAAAAAATACAAAAATGGGTATATCTGTTATTGCCAACTGAAAGTTAAGAATATTTAATATGGAGGGTGTTAATGAGTAAATATATAAGTTCCCGGTGGATGACAGCACCATTCCTTCTGGAGAAATCAGCAGGCATTGTAGCCATAGTCTCTGAAATCAAGGACCTTCGAGCCCAGTCCTGCCACAGCTGGTGAGTAATAGAACTAGGCAGACCATGGCAGATAAGTGGACAGGCTTCATAGAGTCAGGCTAGATTGCCTTCTGGCTCAGCTTCGCTGTGTGACCTTCGGCAAGTTGTTTTGCGGTTCTTCACCTCAGTTACTTGATTGCTATACTGGAATATGGCACCTACCTCAATGGAATGTTGATGGGTATACAAAAACATTTAGAAAAGTGACTGTTAAATAGTAGGTCCTGTGTATTGTCTTTGTAGTCCGTTTCGCAGGCATATGTCATAGACCAAGAATCTTGAAGATGAAAAGAATTAGGGTGAAAAGGAAGACAGTCACTGTTCGTCTACCATATCTAATAATTAAGGTAGATACCTTCCTCACTTTGCAAGCATCCTATGCACAGTGGCAGCGTCTTGGTAATTTTCCAGTTCCAGTACTTGATATGTGTCCTCTCTGGTTTGTCATTATTGATTAAGTGTTGAACTAACTAATTGCTATCATGATGTACCTCAACAGTTCACAAAACATGATCATGTAAATCTTTATTTGCTCATTTTCACAACCTTATATTATAGTAATGGTGCCTTATGTTAATTGAGTGCCGACTCTGTGCCAGGTGCTGGATAAGATGAAATAGTCTTCATATCCAAAGTGCCTATTTTTCAAATGATGACACTAAAATTTGAAGGCTTAAGTAACCAAAGCCACACAGATAGTAAGAGACTGGGATAGGAATACAGTTTAACTCTGACTCCAAACTGTATGGTTCTCACTAAACCGTACCATGTCAAGAAGAGGAAAGTCTCAGAAGAGTTTAGCCATGATAACAGCAAAGAACAGACTGAACTCTGCTAAAGTGAATTGAAGCAGGAAACCATGAAAGCTTACAGGAATAAAATATGTGACAACAGTAAATGTTTAAAGTGATCTAAATACTCTTTCTTTATCTAAGAGTATAGAAATATTAACAGTGGACTTGAGTAATTTCTAAAAGAATAGAAAAAGAGAGTATAAATTTCCAAGCTAAAAGCAGGGGAGAAAAGGGAATAATAAAAATAAAAATTGGCCAAAAGCAGGTAAAATGGAAAGAAACAGAAGCATAGTACAGATGGAACAAACAGAAATAGCATGTATACAATGATATCTTTAAACTTGAATTTATTAGTAATTAAATGGGCATCTGCCATACATTTGTGTATACTTGTATTATGTTTAGGTGTGTTTTATATGCAGTCCATATATGTATCATATTTCCAATAAAGCTTTAAGTTTTTTTAATGCTTTGGGAGTATTCAGATTTCAAATTGCATCAGTGTTTGAGTAGTCTGTACAAAGATGTTCTATCAAATTTCTCTTAAGAATCTAATCCGCATGGGGCACCTGGGTGGCTCAGTCGGTTAAGCGTCCGGCTTCAGCTCAGGTCATGATCTCACGGTTTGTGGGTTCAAGCTCCGCGTTGGGCTCTGTGCTGACAGCTCAGAGCCTGGAGCCTGCTTCGGTTACTGTATTTTCCTCTTTCTCTCTGCCCCTCCCCTGCTTGCATTCTGTTTCTCTCTCAAAAAATAAGTAAAGCATTAAAAAAAATCCAATCAGCATCTTTACAGACTTTCTCTAAAAAGCAATGTGACAGATTATAACACATTTATACAATTTAAAAAGCATGTACAGTAAAAAATATACACTATTTTTAAAATAATACCTGAAGCACGAGGAAGACGAAACCAATTTTCTATTGAAGTTACTGTGATTGAGCATTAAATTTAGCTGTCAGCTTTTCCTTACCTAAATCAAAAGGTAAGAATAGGTCCCTCTCATCCCACAGTATACAGTATGTCTGTGTTTATGCGGTGTGATCATTTTAACCATTTCAAGAAGAAAAGTTTTCAGTAGTAAAAGTAACGGCCTTAACTGAAGTCAGTATTTATGAGTGACCGTACTGTTACTTAGTCACATTACTAATTTTAGAGATATTTTTTCCCTTGTAGGCTCTGAATGGCTTTGTGCTGGTTGTCACTACAGATGCCTTGGTCTTTTATGCTTCTTCCACTATACAAGATTACCTAGGGTTCCAGCAGGTAAATATATTGTTCTTGGGTCATTTAAAACTTTTTTTTTTTAGAAAATTACTCTATTTATCCTACATTTTAGGGACATAACCGATAATTTATATATAGAAAATATCAATTAAAATATGCTTATAGAATAAAAATCATCTTTTTGCCTCTAATAATTTCTTTACTATTAATAATTTACTGCATTATAATTTTCTTAAATGTTTATGAGATTCATGCATGTTGTGTTTCATCTTTCTCTTGTTAAAGAATCTCATATATTAGAAACATTGGATGGGGGGCAGACCGGAGAATATTTGCCATCAGATTAGTTATGGATACCAGAGGGCATGTGGCAGCTATGAAATGAATGAGGTGATATGTAAAAGTACAGGCAAAATATCATGGTTTATATCTCTAATTCTGACTTAATGCTGATAATAGAAGGTATCCTGATGCAATTAGTATTTAAGCATAAGATCCAGAGGTTGGACTTTTGTGGAGGGAACACAGGAAAGAAAAGATGGAAGTACTACTGTAAGCGGTCGACTGGGAGTAGCTTAAGAGGGAAATGTGTTGGATTTGTTTAATGTTCGTGAATAAATGGTACGTAGATGGAGTGGTGTTTGTCCTATCTGAGGGGCAAGAGTGTCTATGTGACATGAGAACAGTTTGTAAGTACACCTGACTGCTAGCTATCCTTATGTATCAGTAGTTCTTAAATTCTAATGTGTTAAGACTCACTTGAAGAACTTGATATAAAACTAAAATCTTTGGGTCCCATGCCACATACTCTGATTCAGTAGGTCAGAGTGGGGCCTCTGAATTTGCATGCCAAACAATCTCACAGGTGATGTCCAGACTGCTGGTTTGAATAACAGTGTCTGCACTATTATACAGACTGAAGTTTAAACTGTGTTATATACACAGTGGAAGCCTCTAGCTTTTTTGTTAAGGGAATCTGTATGCTCCAGTCTGTGTTTTAGATAAGAACTCTGGTAATTGGGTAATGGACAAGTTCACTGGGAGGTGTGAGTCTAGATAGCTAAACTAGGGGAACCTGGCTCTGCGACAAAGCCTGTTTTATGGAGAGTCAAAAGAAGGATTCTGACCCACTAAAGGCATAATTCCTTACTCTTCCAGAGTGTACTGGAAATAAAACTTTAATATAGAGAAAAGTCATTATAGGACAGTGAAAGATATTTAATACTAAGCTTAGAGAAGTCTAAGACAACTGTTTTTAGACAAAGTTTTGTGAAAAAAATTAGGATATAAAAGAACAATAAGTGGCTGAAAACACATAGAACTTAATGTGTTGCAATGAAGGAATGACGAGGTAGGGAAGTGCTGGCAAGGAGCGCTAGGCTCACCAGTTACAGAGCTCCCTCCATCTAGCCTTTCCTGTCTTGGATGACTGAACAGCTCTGTGATCATCCGTCTAATGTGCATTCATCACCATTATCAACCACCCAGTAACCTAGTCACATTCTGAAATTAATTTAGTAAGCCACATTTTTTTAGTCAGTACTTTAAAAAAATTTCCCTCTATCTTTTTTCTTTAGTCTGATGTCATACATCAGAGTGTGTATGAACTTATTCACACTGAAGACCGACCTGAATTTCAGCGTCAGCTGCACTGGACATTAAACCCTCCACAGTGTACAGACTCTGGACAAAGAACTGACGGTAAGGATGTTTACCGAAAGATAACATTGGTGAGTTTTTAATATACCTCTGTACAAGGAGGCAGAGAACCTCTGGAGGCTTATAACTCCTTGGCAGAGGTAGGGAAGAAGCAGAAAGACAGGAGTCTGCAGCTGTATGTCACAGCCAAGTCATAGAGACTGATGACCTAAGGAATATTTTGACAAATGACCACCACTGATGAATTTCAAGTGAGGAAGTGTTACCATACTTAGTACTATATTTTATAAAAATAACTTTTGAAAGATTGGAAAGAGTGTATAAAGTTGATCCTAGAGTGTGTAGAAGTTGTTGTTCTGCTTTTAGAAATGTGTGAAGGTGTTGATACAAAGTGTTAGAGATGAAAATTGACAATAGAAATAAAAACAAAACTGAGTAGGTTAAGTTCTGTGTAGTAAAAGTGATATTCTGTGCATATATTTCTTTTCGTTAGCTCCTCTTTTAAAATGATTCTTCATTTTTATATTCAGAATAGAATCCAGTTTAGAAATTGACACAAATTTTAGCTATCCAGACACTTGATTGTGTAGCAAAATGGGATGTAAATTTGTGTTGCTATTATGTCTGCAGAAGCAAATGGCTTCCCCCAGCCAGCAGTCTGTTATAACCCTGACCAGCTTCCTCCAGAAAACTCTTCATTTATGGAGAGGAGCTTCGTGTGCCGACTAAGGTGTCTCCTGGATAACTCATCTGGTTTTCTGGTAAGGTGCAAAATCTTCTGATACTAGCAGTTGTGTTTCAGAAAGTAAGAAAGAAATGTCAAAACCATTTTTTTTGGCTAGATTGGAGTTTGATTTTAGAAACCTACTATATAAAATAATTTCATGAAGGAAAGTAACTTGTTTTTTCAGATTTCTAATATCTTCCGTGACTCAAAATCTCCATCTTTTTTTTTTTTTTAAATGTTTTATTTATTTCTAGGAGAGAGAGAGAGAGACAGCGTGAGCAGGGGAGGGTCAGAGAGAGAGGGAGTCACAGACTAGAACAGGCTCCAGGCTCTGAGCTGGCAGTCAGCACAGAGCCCGACACGGGGCTCGAACCCACAAACCGCGAGATCATGACCTAAGCGAAAGTCGGACGCTTAACCGACTAAGCCACCCAGGTGCCCCATCAAAATCTCCATCTTTTAGGATGTAGTAACAAAGACTGAGAGAAGTCAGATGGGACCTTGTATTTTGCCAAAATATCTCTGGGACCTTTTTTCTGTAAACAAGAACTTTGTAGCCCTTTTTTTTAGCAGACTGTCTGCTGCTTTATACCCTTTTTGGATTTAATTCCTGCTGAACAGAAAATTATCATGTCCTTTTCTACACAGCTACGGTAACTGTCATATAGAAAAATGGTTGTAGGGGTGCCTGGGTGGATCAGTCAGTTAAGCATCTGGCTTCAGCTCAGGTCATGATCTCATGGTTTGTGGGTTCGAGCCTCGCATCAGGCTCTGTGCTGACAGCTCAGAGCCTGAAGCCTGCTTTGGATTCTGTGCCTCCCTATCTCTCCCTCTTCTCCTCCCCTACTCATGCTCTGTCTCTCTGTCTCTCAAGAATGAATAAATGTTAAAAAAAAAAAAAAAAAAAACTGACAATCAGCAAATAGGTGTTTTTCTGGTGGAATTTGCATAATCAGGTCTTTGGTTCTTTGTTTTGCTACCATATCTTGTGGAGGTCAGAATCATCCCTCAGCCTGATTAATACTGTTTTAAGCAACTAAGTTGATCATGTTCACATTTAAATTATCTTTGTTTCCTCGGTCTTCTAAAAGTACCCGTTATTTTTTTAAAATTTTTTAATGTTTATTTTTGAGAGAGAGACAGAGAGACAGAGTATGAGTAGAGGAGGGGCAGAGAGAGAGGGAGACGCAGAATCCAAAGCAGGCTCCCAGCTCTGAGCTGTCAGCACAGAGCCCGACACGGGGCTTGAACTCACGAACCATGAGATCATGACCTGAGCCAGAGTCAGAGGTGGCACCCCTCTTTATTGTTATCTTGAGTTCTGCATTCTTTATGTGACTTTATGATTCATTTTTAGTGTTTTAATAAAACTGTATTTTAAACTGTATTTTATTTCTATATAAAAGATAGCCATGAGTTATGAAATAGACCATGAGCTTTGGAATATAGTTCATCTCTATTTGAAAATTAATGTGTACTTGATGACGTTAGTACTGATCATTCATTTAGGAAACATGTATCGAATGGCATGGGGGGAAGGAGCTGTATACTGTAGGTGTGAATGACAGGGCAGTGGTGAGCTCAGAGATGATAACAGGCATTTTTGTGGTGACAGTTGAAAAGGAGTGGCTTACTGGGCAGCCCCTGTAGGATAGTATTCATATTGTCCTTTGGGATAGTTATAATGGGCTTCTTGCGGAGAAAAGAATGCAAGTAGCATCAGTCAGCCCCAGGAACTTTTATGGAATTATCAAGAATACTGGAAATGTTCATGACTGAGCTTTCGGAAATGAAGGGTTTTAAAGTGTAAATTTTAACGAGCTGGTTTTGGTTTTTAAAGGCAATGAGTTTCCAGGGGAGGTTAAAGTATCTTCACGGACAAAACAAGAAAGGAAAGGATGGGTCAATACTTCCACCTCAGTTGGCTTTGTTTGCAATAGCTACTCCACTTCAGCCACCTTCCATACTGGAAATTCGAACCAAAAACTTCATCTTTAGAACCAAACACAAATTGGACTTTACACCTACCGGTTGTGATGCCAAGTACGTAAAACTTGTTCAGTTTTCTTTCACTAAATGTATATTTTGGTGCAGCATATCTGTCTTAGCATGTAAAACATGTAGCATAGATTATAACGTTTATTAGTCTATTAGCTGTTACTTCATACTCTTTCAGTGTAGCCTTTTAAAATAATTTCATGTGGCTTATAAAGCTTCTTGTAATTTTTTTACAATACTTGTCACAGTTTATCAAAAAGATGATTTGCTTCTATTAGTAAGATGCACTGTCCTGATGACATTTGTTGGTGTGTTTTACATTTTTAAAATGCACAAACTATTTGATTTTTAACCCTAGAAGTTGAGTAACTTCCAGAAAATTATGAAGTAGACTGTGATATTGGCATTCATATCATATCAAAACCTGCACTTGGTGTTCCCCTAATATGAGAATGCAGACAGATTTGAAAAACTTCACCTCTTGAAATGGAGTATATGCATTCTAGGTTTTGATTAACAATTCTGTTTTACCTACATAATCTGCTGTGTCAGATTCATCTTTAGACATGCTCATTTTCATGGTTTTTTTTTTAAGAAAATAAAACTGATATTAACAGCCAGAAACAAAAGAGGGCACTTGCATAGATATTGTTGTTTTTACTTGCTAATATGAAATTCTGAATCAAGGAAAACATTGCAGAAAATAGCATATAACGATTAGGTTGTTTCGTTCATTCATGTTAAATTTTAATCTCTTATTTTACCTTTTTTTTTTAAAAAAAAAACAGAGGAAAACTTGTTTTAGGCTATACTGAAGCAGAATTGTGCATGAGAGGATCAGGATATCAATTTGTTCACGCGGGTGACATGCTTTATTGTGCAGAGTACCATATCCGGAGTAAGTTGTATTTCATTATGCCATGTCTGAAAAAATGGCATATATTCTATTGCATGTTTTAAATTATTACATAATGTAACGAGTTTAAAGCAATTATTTGGATAAACTTACAGTCAGTGTCATACCATTATGATTAACTGGAATTACACTGTTCATTAACTGTTCCACACCTACTGCACAAGAGTCTCATATTTTAATTACTATGAAAATAAACATTTTGCCCCATGTTTCACTCCGTTTCTAATAGCATTTTAAATGGCATCATTTATTTATAAGTCTGTGTTAATATAGATTATGGTTTAAAATGGTTAAATAAAATACTAAGCGGTAGAAACATTCCCTTTTTAAAATGAAATTAATTTTAATCTTTTTGTTCTCCCCAGATTGTATACTCTCTCTGTAGTTGGATGTATTACCAGAATTTTGACTTAATCTTCCCTTTAACCTACTGAATAATAATAAATTTAGTCTAGGAGCTTGTGAGTGGCTCAGTCAGTTAAGCATGTGACTTTGGCTCAGCTCACGATCTCTCAGTTCATGGGTTCCAGCCCCACAGCTGGGTCTGTGCTGACAGCTCAGAGCCTAGAGCCTGCTTCAGATTCTGTGTCTCCCTCTCTCTCTCTCTCTCTCTCCTCACTCCCCTCAACCTCACGCTCTGTCTCTCTCTCAAAAATAAACATTAAAAAAGTGTTTTTTAAATAATAAATTTAGTCTGAAGTAGAAAAAAACAACTCTGAAGAACTGTTTCCTTACATTTTAATATATTGTGTTTAAAAGTTGTCAAGACATTTATCATTTTTGGTGGTAAATGAAATATATCTAAATATATATCAGAGTGGCTTTGTTTCAGATGTGTTCTTTAAAACATTGATTTCAGGTTTGATAATTTAAGTTTTGGATTTCGTTTCAGTGATTAAGACTGGAGAAAGTGGCATGATAGTATTCAGACTTCTGACCAAAGACAATCGATGGACTTGGGTTCAGTCTAATGCGCGCTTAGTGTATAAAAATGGAAGACCAGATTATATCATTGCAACTCAGAGGCCTCTGACGTAAGTACAAAGACAAAATGTTTCATGTCTTCAATTTTTTAATAATAGTTTGGTTTATAAATCCTCTTACATGAAAATTTTAAAATAAATTCTATGAGAATTTTCTCTGGAAATTTCTCAGAGAAATTTCCAGTAAAAACTGAAAATCTGTATAGAAGGACATTGAGAAAACAGAATTGACAAACCTTATTGAACTAAATATATGGAGTTACAGAAAGAGAATAACCAAAGAAAATTCCAGGGTTTTACTGTGATGTATGAAGGAAAGATGAAAAGTTAGTGCCATATGTAAAAATAAAATAAATGCATACTAGTGCTGGGTTCTGTACATGTTTTCTAAGCAACCAGTGGTTTTTTAAGTTTCTTTTTTTTTTTCTTAAAGTTTTTTTTTAATGTTTTATTTCTAGGAGAGAGAGAGAGAGAGAGACAGTGTGAGCAGAGGAGGGTCAGAGAGAGAGGGAGTCACAGACTGAAACAGGCTCCAGCCTCTGAGCTGGCAGTCAGCACAGAGCCCGACACGGGGCCCAAACCCACGAACCACGAGATCATGACCTAAGCGAAAGTCGGACGCTTAACCGACTAAGCCACCCAGGCGCCCCGGTTTTTAAGTTTCTTATAAATTCTGTAAATGAGAATTTTGTCCAATATTTGTATTAGAAATGTTTTCTCCACTCTAGAGAGCTGATGTTCGTATGTGACTTGAGGTAAGATCAACATTAATATTTTCCTTTATATGTATATATGGTTGACAGTAACATTTATTGAAAAGGCTGTTTTTTTTTTTTCCCCCGCTGCACTGCATTTTAATCAGCGGATTATATCTGTGGTTCTCTTTCTGGGTTCCATTAGTCTAGTTGTTTTCACTCTAATAACACGTTATCTTAATTACTCCATCTTTATAATACATCTTGGTGTCTGTCTGTAAACTCTCCATGTTAGTTGAGGAATTTTTATTGTTCTCTTTCAAGATCGTCTCTTCTTTATCCTTTATATTTTAGAAGTAAGTTGTCAAGTTCCACCAGATTATCTATTGTGATTTTGAATGGAATTACATTGAAACTATAGCTTATTTGGGGATAATCAACATCTTTACAATATTAACTCTTCCAACCCTTGAACATGGTGAATATATGTATATGCATATGGGTATATGAATATGTACCTATGTCTTTATCCTAATAATGGGTTTTATTTTTCTTACCTGACTCTTCGGTATCTTTAACTTAATTTTATTTCTAAATGTTTGGTATTTTGTGATGCTTTTTTTACATGGTGTGCATGGTGGGGTGCCTGGGTGGCTCAATCGGTTAAGCATCCAACTCCTGATTTCAGCTCAGGTCATGATCTCCCATGGTTTGTACAATCAGTTCCCAAGTCAGGCTCTTAAACTGACATCATGGAGCCTGCTTAGGATTCTCTGTTCCCCCCTGCCCCCCACTAACTTGCTCGCTTGCTCAGAATAAATAAAGAAAACGTTAAAAAGAATAGTGTGCATGTGTATAGCATTTTCTAATCATTTTTTAAATATTGGCTTGTATTCAGTGACCTTACTAAAGTCTACTTATTCTCATAAGTGTCTGGATCCTTCAAAATTTTTACTATATACCGTGTCATTTGCAATATTTTTTTAAATCTTTCGACATTTGTTGTTTTCTTAAAATTCCTTTATTGCATTGGTTAGACCCTCAGTAAAATGTAAAAGAAATAATGATATCAGGTTTTGATTTTGTGTTATTACCCGTCTCGGGGAAATCATTTAATATTTCAAGTATGATATTTGTGGTAGTGTCTTCGATGTTAAATTATATATATGTATATATACACACACACATATATATACATATAAAATATCTAGATACTACATGCATACAAACATATATACACATATACTTCTATACATTTATATATATTATTTTCATATATTCATATATATTATATATATATTGCTATTAAATATATAGATTTATATCTACATGTGTATTTATATGTTCATATTTGTGTGTGTATATACATGTTTTTAATTTAAAAGTTTCCCTTCTCTTTAGTTTACTAAGTGTTTAGTAAGCTGTGTCAACTTCATTGACATGATGATGATTTTTCTCTTGTATGCAGTTTCCTTTTCAGTGTGTAATATCTGTAGTGATTTTTAAAGAAACATTTCTTGTTATTAGAAATTTGTGCCTTCTCAAATAATATTGCTAGAAGGCCATTAGTTTCTAATCTTCTCAAGGATCCAACTTTCGGTTTGTTGAGTTTTCCTATTGTATGCTTGTTTTCTACTCTGTTTATGTCTGCCTGTTACTTCTTTCTACCTTCTTTGGGTGTATTTGATATTTTTCCAACATTTTCTTTAAGCAATCAATTTCCCCTTAAGCACAACTTTAAGTACAGTCCTCATGTTTTGATATATCTTGTTTTTTCCACTTATGATTTATTTAAAAATATAGTAGGATATACTGTTTACACTGGGGATTTTCTGGGTTGGTTTAAATTTTCATTGCCTTTAATTTTGAGAGAGAGAGGCTGAGACAGAACGCCAGTGGGGCAGGGCCAGAAGGAGAAGGAGACACAGAATCTGAAGCAGACTCCAGGCTCTGAGCTGTCAGCACAGAGCCTGATGTGAAGCTTGAAACCACGAACCACGAGATCATGACCTGAGCCGAAGTTGGATATTCAACTGTCTGAGCCACCCAGACGCCCCTGATTTTCTTGTTACTGGATTTTACATCACTTCCATGTTAGAAAACATTCTAGGAGTGATTTCATTTCTTTGAAATTTGTGGTAGCTTATTTATGATCAAATAGATAGTAACAGATCCCATGTGCTTTGGTCAAGAATCTATGTTCTGTTGCAGGTATGGTACTCTTCATTTATCAGTGATTTCGTTTTTGCTGTTCATGTTTTTATTATTTGAGTTTTGTGTTTTCTTATTCTATTAGTTATTAAAAGGTTATTTGTTGCATTTCCTCATTACCAATAAGGCAGGACATCTTTTGTATCTTAGTAGGGCGTATTCCTTCTGTGTCTTGTCAGTTCATATTGTTTCCCTATTTTCTACTGTGGTGTTTACCTCTCATGGTCCTCATTGGACCAGCTCTTTACTTCCTATGGGTATTAAGTTGGATATATTTATACACACACATACTATATGTAGAATACATGTGCAATTACAAACATGACACGTGTTATCCATGCCTTAACTTGATTTATGAATTCTTTTGCCATGTAACATTTTTCATTTTTATGTCAATTATGCTACTATTTTCCTATAGAGATTCTAGGTTTTTATTTAGACATGGCTCTTCCCAATCAGATTCCTAAAATTTTTTAGATATAATTAACATACAATGTTTCATTTGTTTCAAATGTACAACATAGTGATTCAACAGTGATATACATTGTGTAGTGCTTACCGTAAGTGTAGCTACCATTTGTCATCATATAAGTTATTATAGTACTGTTGACCATATTCCCTGTGTTACACTTTTCATCCCCATGATATATTATAACTGGGAGTTTATACTTCTTATTCCCACTCAACTATGTAACCCATCCTTCTAGCGCCTTCAGGCTGACAACCACCTATTTTTTCTATATGTATGACACTATATCTGTTTGTGTGTGTGTGTTGTTAGTTTTCTAGATTCCATGTAAGTGAAATTATGCAGGATTCATCTTTCTCTAACTTCTTTCACTTAATATAACACCTTCTAGGTTCATCCATGTTTTACTGATAGGAAGATTTCATTCCTTTTTATGGCTGAGCAATATACCACATCGTCTTAAAAAAATTTTTTTTAATGTTTTATTTTTTTCTGAGACAAAGAGAGACAGCATGAGCAGGGCAGGGTCAGAGAGAGAAGAAGACACAGAATCTGAAGCAGGCTCCAGGCTCTGAGCTAGCTGTCAGCACAGAGCCCAAGTTGGACGCTTAACTGCCTGAGCCACCCAGGTGCCCCTATACCACATTGTCTTTATCCTGTAGTTAATGGATGCTTAGGTTACTTCCATATTTTGGCTACTGTAATAATGTTGTAATAAACATAGGGGTTCCTCTATCTTTTTTGAGTTAGTGTTTTCATTTTCTTTGGGTAAATATGCAGCAGTGGAATTACTGAATTGCATGGTAGTCTTTTTTTAATTTTTTGAAGAGCCTCTAGACTGTTTTCCACACTGGCTGTGCCAATTTACATTCCCAACAGTGAATGAGGGCTCCCTTTTCTCCACACCCTCACCACCACTTGTGATTTCTTGTTTTTGATTCTCTCTGGTTAGTGACGTTGAATATCTTTTTATCTGTTAGCCATCTGTATATCTTCTCTGGAAAAATGTCTATTCAGGTCCTTGTTTTAATCAGATTCTTTTTGGTAAGTTGTATGAATTCTTTTTGTGTTTTGCATATTAATCCCATATTGGATACATTATTTGCAAATATCTTCTCCTATTCAGTAGATAGTCTTTTCATTTTGTCGATGGTTTTCTTCACTGTGCAGAAGCCTTTTATTTTGGTGTAGTCCTGATCATTTGGTTTTGCCTTTGTTTTCCAAATTGTTGGCATACAAGTTTTTAGATAGTCTCTTATAATCCTTTGTATTTCTGTAGTGTTGGTTTTTACTTCTCTTTTATTTCTGATTTTATCTATTTGCATATTTTCTTTTTCTTGATTGTGGCTAAAGGTTTATTGATTATCTTTTCAAAGAACCAGCTCTTGGTTTCATTGATCTTTTCTTTATAGTCTCTTTTTCATTTATGTCTGCTCTGCTTTTTATTATTTCCTTCCTTCTAGCTTTGTGTTTTGTTTATTCTTTTTCTGATTGCTTTAGGTCAGAGGTTAGATTTGTTTGAGATTTTCCTGGTTTCTTGAGATAGGCCTTTATTAGGGTAAACTACTTAGAACTGCTTTGCTGTATCCTAAAGATTTGGACCATTGTGTTTCCATTTTCATTTTTTCTCCAGGTACTTTCTGATTTCCTTTTTGATTTCTTTGTTGATCCTTTGCTTGTGTAATAGCATGCTGTTCAGCCTCCATGTGTTCATGTTTTTTCTAGTTTTTTTCTTGCAAAATTGATTTCTAGTTTCATTCCACTATAGTCAGAAAAAATGCTTGATAGAATTTCAGTCTGTAATGTACTAAAATTAGTTTTGTGACTTAACATGATCTGACTTAGAAAATGTTCTGTATGCATTTGAATGTGTATTCTACTTCTTTTGGATGGAATGCCCTGTGTATCTAGTAACTCCATCTGGTCTAATGTATCATTCAAAGCCACTGTTTGCTCATTGATTTTCTGCCCAGGTGATCTATCCACTTATGTAAGTGAGGTGCTAAAGTCCCCTACTACTGTTGTAGTATGGTCAATTTATGCCCCTTTATGTCTATTTGTATAGGATTCATATATGTTCATGATCCTATGCTAGGTGCATGGATATTTACACTTGTTATATCCTTTTATTGGATTGAGCCCTTTATCGTTATGTAATGCCCTTTCTTGTCTCTCGTTATAGTCTTTGTTTTAAAATGTATTTTGTCTTTTAAGGTTTTTTTTTGCTTTCACTTGCATGGAAAATTTTTTATACCTTCACTTTTAATCTGAATTTGTCATTAATCTCTAATAGGCAGTATATAGATGGGTCTTGTTTTTTATCCAGTCACCTTGTATCCTTTGATTGAAGCATTTAGACCATTTATACTTAATACATACGTATTTATTGCCATTTTGTTTATTCTTCTGATTTTTTTTCGTAGTTCTTCTCTTTTCCTTATTTTCTTGCTTTCTTCCCTTCTGATGGATATCTTTCTTTAGTCTCATACTTGGATTCCTTTCTGTCTGTCATTCACACATTTTTGGTCTGCATTAACCTTGAGGTTCTTATATAACATCCTAAGTATATAGCAGTTTATAGTGATGATTAAGTTTGAACATGTTCTAAAAGCACTATGTTTTTACTACCTCTCCATTTTTTAGTTATTTGATGTTATTTTTTTTATCTTTTATGATTCCCTAATTTTTAGATCTAATTGATTTTTACTCCTTTTGTCTTTTCACCATCATAAGGTTAAATCACTCATTTATAAATGATTGATCTACTGCCTGTACTCTAGACCTGTACTCTGGCCTTCAGAATTTCTGCTGAAAAAACAGCAATCTGCTGTTAAGGGGTACATCAGTAGTTACTTTTCTCTTCCTGCTTTTAACTTTGATATGTCTTGGTGTTCATCATGTTTGGGGCTTTCTTTGCTTCCTGCATCTGAAAACCTGTTTTCTTCTCCAATTTAGGGAATTTTTTAGCTATTATTTCTTCAAATAGGGTTTCTGCCCCTTTCCCTCTCTCTTCTTCTGGGATTCCTATAATGTGAATGTTTGTGTGTTTGATGTTGTCTCAGAGACCCCTGAACTTGTTCTCTCTTTTTTTCTTTTTACTATTCTCCTTGCCTGCTTTCCATGACCTGTTTTCCAGATCACTGATCCATTCTTCTGCATCTTCTGATCTCTTGTTGATTCCTTTTGTCTTTATTGTATTCAACTCTGATTCTTTTTTATATTTTCTGTCTCTTTGCTGAAGTTGTCACTGTGTTTGTCTACCCTTCTCCGAAGTCCCTTGAGCATTCCTTTGAGCTCTTTGCTAGCTCAATTAGCTAGATTGTTTATCTCAATTTTTTTTCCTGAAGTTTTGTCTTTTTTGTTGGGAGAATTTTCCTCTGTCCTCTCTTTCTGACTTTCTAATTAATTAGGTGTAACAGGTACGTCTCCCAGTCTTGAAGGAGTGGACTGTTGTAGGAAGATCTCTTCTGTAGACTGCATGTCTCTGGCTGAATGACCAGTGCTGTAGTGGGCACAGGCAAGGAGTCCTGAGTTGCTCTGCACAGGGGGTGCCTTGACCAGGAGAGTTAATTAATTCCTAAATTGTTAGAGTTTGTTTTTATAATTGGATCTTTATTCCACTTAGAATTTATGTTTTGCCAGAGGATGTCAGGGGTGGACACTGAGGGTGAAAATAATAACAAGATTCTGGGACAAATTCTTTTTTTTTTTTTTTTTATTTATTTCTAAGAGAGAGAGAGGGAGAGACAGTGTGAGCAGAGGAGGGTCAGAGAGAGAGGGAGTCACAGACTCTGAAACAGGCTCCAGCCTCTGAGCTGGCAGTCAGCACAGAGCCCAACACAGGGCTAGAACCCACGAACCACGAGATCATGACCTAAGCGAAAGTCAGACGCTTAACCGACTAAGCCACCCAGGCGCCCCATCTGGGACAAATTCTAAGTCACTTAAGTTTGTGTACAAAGTTTTCCAGCCCTTGTCATCTGGAAAACTTGTGTCAAAATCATGTTCCAAATCAAACTCAATTGCAGTGTATTTTGCTTGCTGTTTTTCTTTAACATTTTTTATTTTTAAAATGTTTGATACAACTCTTATTTTTTTTGTACCCAATTTTAGAGATGAAGAAGGAACAGAGCATTTACGAAAACGAAATACAAAGTTGCCTTTTATGTTTACTTCTGGAGAAGCTGTGTTATACCAGATAAACAACCCTTTTCCTCCCATGATGGATCCCTTACCAATAAGGACTAAAAATGGTGCTAGTGGTAGAGAGTCTGCTACCAAATCAACTCTAAATAAGGATTCTGTCCATCCCAGTTCCCTCCTGGGTGCTATGATGCAACAAGATGAATCTATCTATCTCTATCCTGCTTCCAATAATACAACTTTTGAAAGAAATCTTTTTAATGAATCTATGATTGAATGCAGTAATTGGCAAGACAGTGTTGCACCAATGGGAAGGAATAGTATCCTGAAACATGAGCAAATAGGTCAGTCTCAGGAAATGAATCCAGCAATCTCTGGAGGTCAATCAGGGCTCTTTGCAGACAACAGAAATAGTGACTTGTACAGCATTATGAAACACCTGGGCATTGACTTTGAAGATATCAAAGACATGCAACAGAATGAAGAATTTTTCAGAACTGACTTTTCTGGTGAGGACGACTTCAGAGATATTGACCTCACAGATGAAATCCTGACCTACGTCCAAGATTCTTTAAGCAAGCCTGCCTTCCCGTGTTCCGGGTACCAGCAGCAACAGCCCCTGGCTGGGCACTCCAGTTGTATGGTACAGGAGCAGCTGCAGCACCATCAAAACCTGGTAGCCTCGGAGCAGCAGCAGCAACTGTGTCAGAAGATGCAGCATATGCAAGTTAATGGCCTGTTTGCAAACTGGAGCTCTAACCAGTCTGTGCCTTTTAGTTGTCCGCAGCAAGAGCTACAGCACTATAATGTCCTTTCGGACTTACCTGGGACCAGTCAAGAGTGTCCCTACAAATCGGAGATGGATGCTATGCCTTACACACACAGCTTTGTCCCCTGTAATCAGCCCGCACTACCCCAACATTCCCAGGGGGCACAGTTAGACTTTCCCATCGGGAATTTAGAACCATCCTCATACCCTACTACTTCAAATTTAGAAGATTTTTTCACGTGTTTACAAGCTCCTGATAACCAAACACATGGACTTACTCCAGAGTCAACCATGGTAACTCCTCAGACTTGTTATGCCGGGGCTGTGTCCCTGTACCAGTGCCAGCCAGAGGTTCCGCACGGCCACATGCCACAGATGCAGTACAGCCCGACAATGCCGGAGCCGCAGGCATTTTTAAACCAGGTAAGAGTTTTATTGGGCTGAATAAACTTTTTCAGTGATTCTTCTTAAATTATAGACCTGAATTATAAACATTTTATGTGACTACTATTTTATAAGCCAATACTTTTCCAGTAGTAGTATGTTACTAATAGATCTTTTTTTTTTTTTTTTTTAACAGTCAAGGAGAAAGAAATCAAGGGCTACAGCAACGTGAATATGTTGTATGTTAGTGAAATTAGGAAAAAGTATATTGTTTAGAATAGATCCTTTGGTTTCTCTCTCTTCTTTATAATTATATGTCCCTTTAAAACTTCGGACTTCAAGGTCGCCTGGGTTGCTCAGTCGGTTAAGCGTCCGACTTTGGCTCGGGTCATGATCTCATTATCTCTGAGTTCAAGCTCTGCTTTGGGCTCCGTTTCTGACAGCTCAGAGCCTGGAGCCTGCTTCCATTTCTGTCTCCTTTTCTTCCCCTCCCTCACTCATGCTCTGTCTCTTTCTCAAAAATAAACATTAAAAAATTTTTTAATCAGACTTCAAATATATATTTGCATTTTTAAAAGTAATTCCTTTAAAGCTCAATCTTTTTTGTATGTGTTAAAATTGGATTAAAGTCAATACACTCGTGCTTTCTTCAGATGCCTTTGTCCTTGGTGATTCCTGAAGTCAGTCCCACACTCCTCAGTGTTCTCTGGCAATACCTCCATGTTATCTGCTAGATCCTCATTTTCTCCTTCACAATGGAGTGGTTTTTCTAGCATTTTGTAAAGAAAGCTTAACTCATTGGCTTTTTCTCTTGTGGTCAAGCTGGGTACTGTACTTAAATTTTTACTTATTTTTTAAAATTATGTATGTATGTATGAGAGAAAGCAGGTAGGGGCAGAGAAGAGGGAGACAGGCAGAGAATCCAAAGCAGGCTCTGCATTGTCAGCACAGAGCCCTGTGGCATGGCTTGATCTCATGAACCAGAGCTGAAGTCAAGTCCGACATTTAACCAACTGTGTCACTCAAGAGCCCCTTTATTTTTACTTATTTCTTTAAGGGGCTTGAACTCATGACTCGGAGATCAAAAGTCACATGCTCTACCAACTGAGCCAGCTAGGAGCCCCTGTATTTTTTAAATACACCATCTGAACACTTGTAGCAGCAAGCACAGTTTAAATCCTTTTTAAAGTTAATAGTGATGAGAGCTGCTCTCTATGGCCACTGGGGAATGCATCATGTTTACCTTCATGCTTTTCTGTTAGAAAATATTTACTTCATTTTATATACTTAAGTAGGCTTTTGAAGAAAATCTTAATTAAAATTAAGTTCATTAGTTTCTGTTTTCTGTGTCTCAGAGTATAGGTTTGTTTGTATAGGGGTTTTTTGATAGATAAGGCAGTGAAAGTTTCTCTTACCATTATTTCATCCTTGAGTTACATCAAAATTCATTATTCAGTATACTCACAATGTTGCTATGAAGTAGCATGGGTAGGTAACTTGGGTAAATTGTTGACAATTTATATAACCTAAAATTTCATTACTAGGCTCTTGAGAGTTTTTTCCTTCCTCTTCCTGCCACTTTGTATTACTTCTTTTTTTTTTAAATAATGTTTTATTTATTTTTGAGAGAGAGATAGAGACAGTGTGAGCAGGGGAGGGTCAGAGAGAGAGGGAGACACAGAATTTCCAGGACAGGTCAGAGAGAGAGAGAGAAACAGTCTCCAGGCTCTGAGCTGTCAGCACAGAGCCCGACGCGGGTCTCGAACCCACAAACTGTGAGATCATGACCTGAGCCGAAGTTGGACACTTAGCCGACTGAGCCACCCAGGCGCCCCTACTTCTTTATGAACAGTGAGGGAATACGAAGTCTGTAGACCTACTTATTTCCCCAGGGAATTATTTTTAAACATTACCTATGTGACTCACAGTATATTTTAATTGACTAGCACTGCTTTTGATAATATACTTAAAGAGAATTGCTGGCATGCATTTTGTTATGAATTGTAACAGTAACTTATTCGAAGCCTACCATTCTCTGAAGACCTAGATTATAGGACATTCACTACGTATTAATGTATTAGAGAATCTTTTAAGTCTGATGTTAACATTAATTGATGTTCCATAGGCTTTAGAAAGGTAGAGTTTATTTCAAGGAATTAAGGGTATGATTTCGAACTATTTGAACGTTCCTGTAACTATATAAAATACAAAGGCCCTGTAATCTATAAAAGCCTTACAGAACTAGGTATCTGCCTTTTTTTAGTAGCAGTTGTAGACTAATTAGACTAATTTTATTATAAGAAGACAAGAGCAAGCATTTTATTTGGTAACTTAATCTGTAATTATACTTTTTAGTAGCACTTATTAAAAGCATTTAACAAAAAAAAAATGCTTTAGGAAATCAGACCCATGCTGTAATGTTTTAGGAATATTAAGATGCTTCTGTCAGAAATGACCTCTTACAGAAAAGTCCTAAGCCTGCAGCCCAGTCTAATAATTTTAAATGCAGTCAATATTTTGGTACCCAGAACTTGACTGGGATGAAATCTGGTCACAGCAAACCTATGCGTGACAGATATATTTAACTGTGACTCATAACTGGTACTCTCTGATCCGTCAATTCCTATCTGATACCAAAGGCAATTTGTTAATCAAATACTCTTGATGCCAATTCTGAGCTGAGACCAATGTGTGTCACATATCTATACCATCTAATGGAGAAACCAAAAAGGTTATAAATGGAACTAACGCATAGTTTTTGCTCAGTTGGTCTTCATTGAATTATGTAAAGAATTTGAAGTTAACAACATGCAAGGCAAAGATTTTAAAAATACTTATCATGTAGTGGCTTAAGATACTTGAAAAATCTATCCTAATAAGTTGCATTGCTCTTTTTGTTTCCAGTTTCAGAATGGAGAAATTTTAAACGAAACCTATCCAGCTGAATTAAGTAATATAAACAACACTCAGACTCCCACACACCTTCAGCCCCTTCATCACACATCAGAAGCCAGACCTTTCCCTGACTTGACGTCCGGTGGATTCCTGTAAGGCCAAGCCCATTTTTACCTTAGGTTTTGGCTTAATTTATGGAAGGTTACAGAATAATGGAACTGTCAGTGTTGGACATCAGCACCTATACATGGAGGCATTGATGTATGCTGTTCGCACTAGTATTCCAAACCAAATGGTAGTCTTTTTAAGAGCTAAAAAAATTACCAAAACTACATATACTATAGTCATTAAAAGATAATTATGACTTTGTACTATAGACAAATGTTCTGAATGCTAGAGAATATACAAAACTTATTCGGGAGAACTTTATGACACTTTTGAATAAAAATTTGTGTCAGAAAAAAATGAAATACTTTTGAGTTCTCAACTTCTATATTCTTATTAGCACACCAAATATCGAATTAAACTATTTTATTTTTAGCTTCTGCTTTTATCTCAGATGTTAAAGTAAGTGGTTTGGTGCTTTTATAAAACAATAATCTCAGTGCTTTCCTCCTCCTTTGTTATGTAAGTGCCTCACAATTTTTTATACCTATAACACTGTAGGATGTCTATTTGATAGCAGGTATACTTTTTAATTAATAACATTCTGCACAAATATTATTTGTATTTCCTAAATTCAGTCATTTTTATCAATCCAGGCATGTTTTAACTGCACTACTCACCCACTTTCTTCAGAAAAAGGGCAAGTTATGATTGAAAAAGTATTTATTATATAACCTAGTTGCTTCTAGATCTTAAATGTTGCTATGTGCCTTATGTTGAAAAATTTTGAAAGTAAAATGTCTTTCCAAATTATTTTTTGATCATGATATAAATATTAAGACTGCAGCATTAAAATTCCAACAGTGTTTTCAGAAGAAAGAGATATATTGCAATTTACTTAAGTTTCCATCATGGTGGGTCAGTATTGCAGATGCAGAAAGATCTGCTTGAATGCAACCATATTTATTAACTTGAAATGAGGAGCAAGTAGCTTTATTTCTAGCTCTTTACTCATCATTTCAATGTGTATAAATTCTTTAAAAACTACTTTAGACCTAGAATGAACTTTAAGGTATAATATGTTGACTTTATAAATTTCACTTATGAGTACAGTGAAACTATTTGTTTTTCTCATATTTGAGGAGCTTAAAGATTGAACGTAGCAATGTTTGATGCAAAGTTCTGAATGACATGAATGGTGCATATATAGTTTGTAATGAACAAAATTAAATATAAAACATTTTCAAGCTGTCATTTGCCAATAGTCTATATCTTATATATGCACGTAATTTGAGTCTTACATATATTCTTGTGTCTTTTCAAAAAAATCAAATAATGAATCCAATTGCTTTTACTTTTGTATTAAGACAACCATGCCATTCTCTTAACTTCAAACAAACATTACGTTGTTTCAGGATACAGTGACCTTTATTATTGGTAAGGCAAATGATCACCTTGCTAACTTTACTGTCCTCAGGTGACTTTTTAAAAAGACTCCTTTATTTAAATGTGACATGTGAAGGGCACACACATTTTTCATGTATTATATAAAAACCTTTTGGAATCTTGAACCGAGGTGCAGTAAAATACACTATTTTTCACTTCTTCTTTTAGTAAATTGATGTATATCAAAGTGACTTCAGACAAAATATCTGTCAGTTCTATGCACTTTCAGTTAAAACCCTGAATCCATAGAATCAATTTAAGGTAAAAAAATTTGTCTAAAACATTTCATAATGTTTTTCCAGCATGAGGGATCACTAAAGATTTAGACCAGTGGTCTGGCTTACTATTCCATTTTTACATTTAAGCCTTTCATTAAGTCCTCACGGAACCATTTTTTGGTAGTCTCTTCCACATGCTATTGGGTGAATTATTTAGTGGAAAAATAGGCTTTTTAAATTATGAATAGGATGACAGGTATACACTTAACAAAATTAAAAAATTTTAAAGCAATATTGTATATTTTTATCTATATAAAATAAACTGTATCTAAGAATAATAAAATCACATTAAACCATATTTGTCTGTATTGCTAAGTGCCAAACAAAGAAAGAATGCTCTGTTTGCTGGTCTAATGAGAGACTCATTTTTTAGGTAATATGCACTTCTGATTGTGTGGATATGTCTAATTTGACTGACTTTTGCTAAGCCAAATTGTTCTTCCAGTACTCGGTGATTTTCCAGTGTTCCATTGTATTAGGAAGTTTCATTCATTACTCTGCACAGACTAGTGTTTTTCAGTATTACTAAACTTTTGGTAGATGTATTCATGGCTTTTCTCTTTTCTTCAGAATGTTACTGCTTACCTATGCCATACATACAGTTTTGTTTAAAGTATGATTTATAATCTCCTTATCAAACAAAATTGTATATAATAATATATGGTAATAAAATAATTGAATATAAATTTTTTTTAATGTAAATTCTTTCTGGTTCACAGAGCGGGAGGGAGCATGTTTAGTACAGTATTATAGCTGTATTAGATAAAGGCAATCTACAATACTTGCATGAAACAATAATTTAATTTATAAAATTCTGTCCTTGGATATTTTAGCCTTTACCTGGATATAAAAAAGACTCTTCAAGTAACTTCACAGATTAAAATGCTTTTGAAATGGAGTACTCTTTTAAACTTTGTATTAGTGTTTGTTAGGTATGCAGTGGTGTTAGTGTCTCAAATTTTAAAATTCCACCTTACTGATTTAATATTTGATGAGTTTTTAAAACAATTCGTTGTATTTTGTTCTCGGATTAGAAAAATTATTGCCTAAGTCTATCCTCTAACAAATATAAGTGATATGTTATGCCTTTGGCATTAAACTCAAGACTTAAAACACTCACCAAGAATGTTGCAGTTAGAACCATTTGAAGAAAAAAATCCTGAAAAAAGTTTTCTTTTTATTAACTTTTTCTACATTCATCTTTTGTTTAGCCTTTACATTCATTACAATCATTAGATATTTTTCTCAACACAGGATATATAAGCATGGCAAGTTAACACCATACTTTGAACATTTTAGAAATAATACTGAGTCTTTTGTCTAAGAGTTTCAGTTTTAACCATTTGATCTGAAAACATCAAGTAAAAAAATTCAGATAATGATAATTATTATCTTTGCTTTGGCTCCAATGGCTTGTATCAGCAGGAATGACTTCAAGTTGCACCCTCTCCCCAAGCCAAAACCAACATATTCTTATGATGTAATTATAAGAGTATGGAGGCCCACCCTAGGTTTCCCTGTCTCAGGGACCCTGATTGACCCTCTGACTCCTACCTGAGAAGCAAAGTCACCTTCATTAGGTGAACTTGCTTGCTCTCCCAGTATGTGATCTTTAGGATGTCAACACTTGCTTGGATAGAATTTAAGTCCACCCAATTAGCTTTCCTGTGCTATTTAAACTTTTAAAACTCCACCCTAGGCAGAACCAGTTTTGGCTTCCGTCACCACCTCCAATCCCACCACCACCATCTTGGACAGGATCCACAGCTCCTAAGAATCTGCTTCTGACACGAGGCCCTCTACCTCTAGCAAAATTTTTCAGGAGGACAGATCGACAGAATTCTATTTGTAGTGTCTGATGTATATAGCCTGCATGAAGCAACTCACATTTTAAGACCAATTAGAACCATGAAGAAATACAAATTCATACAGAGAAGAATGATAGGAATCAGCAATTAAGACATTGGAAAACAAAAAATTGTCTGTGACATAATTACTTCAAATAACTAACATAATAACATGGGGAAAAACATATTCTTGTTTATGGTGCAGAAGTTAATTGAGGATGAATGACAAAAGTTACAAGCTAATAGAGTTTACCTTAATATAAAGAAGAGTATCATTAAAAGATGAAGTGGAGATCAATTAGACAGATGTGAAATCTAATGACCTTCCTGTCTTTAGAAATGCTCATTTACAATTACAATTTACAATTCTGAGAAAATTCAAAATTGTGATGTGTATATACATTGTCACTACTACTAAGTTTCCTTAACTTCTGAGAATCTGTGATTCCATAATGTCTATGTTAGATATGATCTTCGGAATGGCTTATTTGATGCTCCACCCCCCATTTCATGTTTGGAGAAAAACAAAAAGACTATCCTATACAAGTCTCTTTAGTTGGTGATACACTGACCTCATGTATCTTGAATTCTGGTCCAGTATATTTTCCCCAACACAAGAAGGACACATTATTTTCCACTTAGAAAAATCAAAATACTCAAATACCTTTTTTACCCTTGATACATGAAATTTCTTTTTTCTTTTATTCAGGATTATAGCTTCAGGTAATGCTGGATATCCTAATGCTTATAGAATATCTATAAATTTATTCTCAACTCCATTTTTCCATGATGCTGTATCTTTTTTTTAAAAAGTATTTTTATTTATTTCTAGGAGAGAGAGAGAGATAGCACAAGCAGGGGAGGGTCAGAGAGAGAGGGAGATACAGACTCTGAAATAGTCTCCAGGCTCTGAGCTGGCAGTCAGCACAGAGCCCGACGCGGGGCTCAAACCCACTAACCACGAGATCATGACCTAAGTGAAAGTCGGACACTTAACTGACTAAGCCACCCAGGCGCCCCAATGATGCTGTGTCTTTAAAATGTTTTTTCAACTACCTTTATTGACATTTTAGGGTACTGATGTCTAATTTGGGGGCTCTGGCATAAAGATCTAGAAGAGAGACTGAAATTTGTGTTTTAGAATTAGGTTAACAGAATTTAACATAATTTCTAAGTGGGTATCTTTTTTCTAGAGTATTAATTTCTATTGCCTTTGAAGATACTTCCCTTCCTCCTAATTGCATCAACCGATTAAAATCTCCGTTGGTTCCCCACAAGGCAAGACCAACATCTTGACATGTACTTACAACAAAGGAACCCTGAAATGAGGGAAGGCAAATTTTTTTTTAATGGTGGTACGCATGCCTGACCCTTTGCTCTGAAAGGAGATACTACGTTCTAAGGCTGTTCATTGTACAAACATCTTAAAAGATTGTTCAGAACAAAAACAGTTGGTGCCTCTGCAAGATGTGCAGCAACAGTAGAAACCCACAGCAAGTAGTCTCCATCACTTATGACTGTTCTTCTTGCTCTTTCAAGCATCCCACTTTCCTTGCTGGACCTCCTCCTGATTCTTGACTACAGAGACAGCTGTTATTTGCACGGCATAACCTGACAAGCCAGAAATATTCTCTATCCACAAAATACATTATTCTAAAGTTCCTTGTAAATTGATCTGAAACCTTGACTTTAACACTCTGCCCCAAGTCCTTGCCCCAAGGCAATACACCAGGGTACATTATGTTTGAACTCTGGCTCTGCTCTCTTGTTAGACATGTGATATGGGGAATTTATTTAAATTTTCTGTGCCTTTAGTTCCCTTCTATGTAAAAAGAAGATAGGGTCACCTGGGTGGCTCAGTTGGTTAAGCCTCTGACTTCTGCACAGGTCATGATGTCACAGTTTATGTGAGCCCCATGCTGGACTCTGCTGACAGCTCAAAGCCTGGACACTGCTTCAGATCCTGTGACTCCCTCTGTCTGCCTCCCCCACTCATGTTCTGCCTTTCTCTCAAAAATAAATGAAATACATTTTAAAGAGGCAAGATAATATAATGAGTTTACCTTATAGGATCTTCAGGAGAACTAATCAGATAATACCTGTGAAGTGTTCAGCACAGTCACTAGCACGTAAGTGTTAAAATAGCTAGGTCTTAAAATTTTTGTAATCTGTAATAGTTGGGGGTAAAGGCAAAGCTGGTAGTAATCAAGAGATCAAAAGAGCATTGTGTCAAAAATAGACATTGGTCTATTATAAGTAGGCTTTATGCCACAAAGCCACCCAGACAGGTGGGGCAACTCTTCCATCCTCAGTGTGCTCTAGCCGCTGTCTTTTCCAACCAAGAGAAGGAAAGGAAGGAACTTTCCCATGCCAAGGATCTTTGAGAAAATAACTTAGAAAGTATACACATCACAATTCTGCCCACATTCTGTACCCATGAACTTAGTCACATGGTCACACCTGGTTACAACCATCTGCCCAGCTAAAATTCCATTACTATAGAAAAAGAAGAAAAAGATTTTTGTTTATAACATAAAGTATTTAACAAATAACAGCACCTCACTGTTCTATTTGAATTCTGAAGCTATTGAGAAATAAGGAAAATGTATGAACAGAAAAAATTATCATCATTGTTAGAGATGGTAACTTAGCACAAGTTTCAAACAAGGATCACCCCTTCTACTCCCCAGTCTCCAATCTAGACCTTAGAACAGACTATTCTGGGATACTCTCAGCTGGCAGAGCCAGCCCAGTTTTCCAGGTCACTGCTTCTTACAGTTCCAGGTAGAGAAAAAAAAATCAAATTCCTCATGCCCAAGACCATTGACGGATTTGTTTTGCATATTTGAAGAATGTGGACAGTGGCTGTCACCCACTTGGCCTTTCTACTATGGAGGGATGAGCAAGGTAACATGTTGGCAATAAAACTTAGGAACCTTTACAGCAGATGGACAGGTTCAGTGCATAAGTAGTGCTTTCGGATAATATGATGATGACTCTGAATACTGGTTTTAATCCTGTCTGCATTTCCAGAGGCTATGACTGTTTCTTCATGATCATTCTCTTTGACACTGCTTCTGTAAAACTTTTTGCAATGTCCATGAAATTTTTTGTTGGCCTCTCTCATATTCCCAGTCCTACTTGTTTTACATATTGTGGCATTTTTTTTTTTTTTTTTTTTTTTTATAAATTATCTGTTTTCTTTGCTAGACCAGAGAACCAAAAGGACACAGTGGAATTACTTTAGAATTGATGTATGGACACATGAGAAACACTGCCTTAATACTCCTCTAAGTAAGTGGGTGGGACTGGGGGAAGGTTGTAAGTCCTTTCTATTGAAGATGGGGTTATACTGAAGCCTGTATCAGTGCTGCCAATTCTCATAGCCTGATGAGAAAACTCCAGTTACACATAGAGATGAGGAAGCAGAGCCAAAAGGCAAAGCTGACAGTTCAGGTCACACAGGCAGTAGTGGGTACAGAATCTAGGCTTCGTAGTTCTGAATTAAGAACATTTTGAAAGAGTAGATTTTCCCAAGGCCATCATTCAAGGGATTTGCTGTATTGCTTCATCCAGGTTATCTCACTGACTTACTATATCCCATGAGGTAAATATCATTGTCCCAATTTACACATGATGAAAGTATTCTAAAAAGCAATCAAAATGACCAAGATGACTGGGTAAATGGACTAATGCCTCCCCACCCTAACTGCCAAAGATGTTCATATTTGAATCATCAGGTAGCAAAAGACTTC